ATGTCAAGAGGAAGGGAACATACGTATTTGCGTGGGATGGTGCTGGGATTTTGTGTGCTGACTGTGAAGAGGTGTTGCTGTATCTAACTGAAGCTGTCGGATAGATACTTCACTGGACATAGAAACCTGAAGCCCATAGTGAGCCAGCACAGAGCTTGCAGACCAGGGCTTCTCTGCAGAGTAAGGTGAAGCCATGCGTGAATGGATTCTTTACAGAAAACTGTTGGAAGAGAACACCAGGCAAAACACTGAACTCTGCACATCCCCAGCAGCTGGAGGAAGGGAGAAGAAAGAGCACCAGTGAAATAGGACTCAGACAGAATGCTCCAGGGTTTTGGTCTGAGAGACAGAAGGAAACCAAGGAAGGGATTCATGGGAACTTTAGGAAGATTATCAATGTTTTGGGACAACCCAGCATATGACAGGGAGTAGTATGTTTCTGCAAGACCAGGGAATTTTAGAGAAACTGAGGCAGCCCTTCCCAGCCCATTCTTACGTAAGATCAGACTGCTATAATACTCCCTGGTTTTAATTACCCAGGGAGCTTATACTCTCCCTTGATTTGTAGGGATTAACTTTATCTTTCATTTTGGTGTTTGAAAGAAGAAAATGTTATTTGAAATGGAGTTCCGTGGTTTCTGTTGTGAACGTGCATTAGTTGTGGTGGGAAGACTCAAGGAGATGGGCGCTTACATTCCAATGGAGAAGACAGAGTGAACATATGTGAATAATTTAGGGAAAAAAGGGATTCTTTCCTTTGTGTTCCTCATTTCTCATATTGGTAAGCAATAAAAAAATGAAACTGTTAAGGTCTAACTTGCATAACTGCCAAGAAATACAAGCCCTGGGATAACATCTGGGCCGTAGCTGTGACTGGGAGGTAGGAAGAGGGCAGGAGCTTTGCTGCCATAGGCCTGATTCTGGATCCTCATAATCCCAAGGAATGTGACGTAGGTGAATCACTTCATTTTCTGGGCTTCAGTGTCCTCCTTTGTCAAGTGGAGATTATAATCCCTCTCGCAATTTGCTGCTGGGGAAATTAGAGCTAAGCTATGGAAAGTATCCCACTCAGTTCCTGGCTCGTAGTAAGTTCTCAGTCATAGATGTTACATAGTGGGATTTTCCCATCCTGCCTAGTAGTGTGGCAATAATGGTCGTAGAAAATCATTGTTGCCTCTTTCTCTGTAGCCTGAATGACAGACCAGCACCTATAATAGCTCACATTGTGCATTCTCTGGAGGGAGTGGGCAAATGTAAGAACCAGAATAACCAAATCTAGGACAGGAATAAGAGGAGAGCATTAAACAATTAATGGCCTGTCCAGTAAAAGAAAAATGTGTACGTAAAATTTCATTGACCCTTTGGT